AAGGGGGACTCCAGTACTTCCAGTACTGAGTCTTCCTTACAATGGCACTGTTCTTTCCACAACAGCAGGTGTCTCTGTGCAAACCATTAATGATGCGTCTAAGCTGTGAGAGAGGGTGGTCCTCAGTGGTACTGAGGAGGGTGCATTGTAACCTGGACTGCGAGAGTCAGAGCAGACTTTCCAAAGATGGTGCTCTTTGGGCTGTCCTGAAAAATCAGTAGGAGTTGGCTGGTGGGAAAAGATAGGAAGGGATATTGCAGCGAGAAAGAGGTGTAAGGGGAAAGATGTGAGAAAAAAAATGTGGAATTACCATGTGGGGATAGGTGAATCCTGAGAATGGGACATGGGATAGACAGGTAGCCTGGTCAGATTGTGTAGGGCCTTGGATTCAAAGTAAACTTTTTATTTTAAAACTAGTGGCCTGGTGCACGGATTCGTGCACATTTAAAGGAAAATAATTAGAAGAAATCTATATATACTAGTATTTAAGACTCTAATATGCAAATAGACTGAATGGCAGAACAACTGAACCAAACAACTGGTCGCTATGATGTGTGCTGACCACCAGGGGACGCGTGCAGAACATGGTGGGCGTCAACAGCAGGTGGCAGAGCGCGGAACATGGCGGGCGTTGGCCGCGGCAGGATGATAGAACATGTGAGTGGGGGCGCCAGACCAAGGTGGGGTGCCGGTCACTGTCATCAGGGCGAGCCTCTGGTGGTTACTGCAAATTGTTTGCTCCCGTACGTTGCGGTCCCACCAGGCGCTCGAACCTGCTGCCAGCGCCAGAGCTGCCACTCGCACCTGCTTCTGGAGCCTGGCACCAGCCCCGGTTGCTTGACGCTGTCAGCAGGTGCGAGCAGCGGCTGCTGACCCCATCACCCCTCAGGGCTTCTCCACCTCCCCCTGCTCCTGAGGGGTGATCGGGGTTGGCAGCTGCCTCTTGCACCCACTGCTGGCGATGGCCCCACTTGCACCTGCTGCCGGCTCTGGAGCCGCCACTCGCACCCACTGCTGGCGCTGGCCCTGCTTGTACCTGCAGCCAGCACTGGAGCTGCTGCTCATATTCACTGCCGGCGCCTGGCGCCAGTCCCAATCACTTGGCGCCATCAGTGGGTACAAGTGGCGGCTGCCGGCCCCGATCACCCCTGAGGGCTTCTCCACCTCCCCCTGCTCCTGAGGGACGATCAGCCACTCCCAGCCGCTGATGGCGTTGGCCCCAATCACTCTGGGCCGGCACCGTCAGGGCGTGGGAGCAGCGGTAGCAGGAGCAGGGCTGCTGGCAGACGGGACCAGGGGCCGCGGTAGGAGGGGCCGGGTGGGGGCACAGAGGATGGGCTGAGACCCGCCCCTGTGCCCACCGCAGCCCCACAGCCCACAATTCCTTTCAGGGTGCAGGAATTCATGCACTGGGCCACTAGTATTTTAATATTGCTATTTCCCACTTCTCTGTAATGGGTGCTGGTCACCGTCTGCGGGGCGATTGGGCTCCTGGCCTGCTCCCTAGTGCCTGGGAGCTGGGCGGCAGCCTTGCTGCCCCTGGTTGCTGTCTGTGGGGCAATTGGCGGGGTGATCAGGCCCCGCTCGCACCTGCCTTGGTGCCGCCCGCTCACCTGCTCCATCATCCCGCCACGGTCCCGCTCTCTTCAGGGCCCATCGGGGCCAGCAGTGCCTCCACTGCCGCCCGCTGTCAGCGCCATGTCGCTGACGTCCGCCATGTTCCATGCTGTTTCCTGATGGTTAGTGCACGTCATAGTGAGCGGTCGAACTCCGGATCGAGGGCACAATTTGCATATTAGGCTTTTATTATATAGGATAGTTTTAGACTTACAGAAGTTACAAAGATAGTACAGAGAATTCCCATATACCCCACACCGTGTTTCCCCTGTGATTAATGCCTTACATTATATGGTACATTTGTTAGTTGATGAACCAATATTCGTTCAGTGTTATTACCTGGAACCATACTTTATTCAGATTTCCTTAGTGTTTCCTTGATGTCCTTTTTCTGTCCCAGGATCCCATCCACGGTTCACATTACATGTGGCTGTCATGTCTCATCAGGCAACTCTTGGCTGTGACAGTTCCTTACAACCTCCCTTGTTTTTGATGACTCAGCGGTTTTGAGGAGTATGAGTCAGGATTTTTGTAAAATGTTCTTCAGTTGGGACCTGTCTGATGTTTTTTGATTATTAGACTGAGGGTTTGGGGAGGAAGACCACAGAGGTGCAGTGATGCCTTTCTCACCACACCCCATCGGGCAGGTGCTATTGCCGTGAGGCAGTCATGTCAGTGGAGACTGGCATCACAGTGTTTGTCGGGTCTCCTCACCCCACCCACTCAAGTTCACATCTAAAGTTCATCTTTCAGCTTTAGAACAGTTCAGCTATGATCCTACTACCCAGAGCTACATGTTGTTAGTTATTGTCCAGAATTTTAGTTTTGTTCTTTTTCAAAACTCCTTAAATGGAACATGTGTTTTTAAAAAAATAAATACTTTTATTGATTTCAGGGAGGAAGGGAAAGGGAGAGAGAGAGATAGAAACATCAATGATGAAAGAGAATTATTGATTGGCTGCCTCCTGCACGCCCCACACTGAGGATCTAGCCGCAACCTGGGCATATGCCCTGCCTGGGATTCAAATCGTGACCTCCTGGTTCATAGGTCAACACCCAACCACTGAGCCCCACTGGCCGGGCTGGACGTGATTTTTTTTTTTATAGGTAGTGCTTATGAAATCTTGTTTACTTACTTTCCTTTTTCTTTTTGAGTATCAACCTTCCTTTCAGGATGTTTTTCCTGAGCATGTTCTTTAGTGCACGTAAAGTCTCCATAAGTGTCCATGTGAAATGTCCCGTGTTGCCCATGTTTCTGCACGTTTTGCAGGGTACACGCTAAGATTTCCTCTCAGTCGATAAAGATAGTATTCCACTATCTCTGGCTTCTATTGCTGGTGGTTTGTCATTTATTTGGAGGTGATATTTTTCTCTCAGGCTTTAAAAATTTATATCAACAATTTTTTACAGAGAGGAAGGGAGAGGGATAGAGAGTTAGAAACATCGATGAGAGAGAAACATCGACCAGCTGCCTCTTGCATGCTCTCCACTGGGGATCGAGCCTGCAACCAAAGGTACATGTCCTTGACCAGAATTGAACCCTGGACCTTTCAACCTGCAGGCAACGCTCTGTCCACTGAGCCAAACCGGTTAGGGTTTGTTTGTTTTGTTAATCTTCACCTGAGGATATTTTTTCCATTGATTTTGAGAGACTGAGAGACACAGTGAGAGAGGGAGAGAGAAAGACATTGATGTGAGAGAGAGGCAGCGATTGGTTGCCCCCTGCATGGGCTCTGACTGGGGATCCAACCTGCAACCTGGGTATATACACTGACCGGGAATTGACAATGCTCCAACCAGCTGAGCCACCCTGGCCAGGGCTAGGGTCCTCATACATTTTCACTCCTAGCCCTGCAATCAACCATTTCTTCAAGGAGGCCTTGTTCCTTTTACTGGTGAGTGGTATTTAGAAACCAAGATCTGGGAGCTAGATGTGCTCAGTTGTTGCTGGATTGTCATTGCATCAGGACCCTCCCAGTGGGCAGAACTGGGAAGTAACTGTGTGTGTGTGTGTGTGTGCGCGCGCGCGCAGACAGGCGCACACACCCATATTTCTAATTCTGTTGAAAACTATGATTTGCTATTGTTACTCTCATTTCTCTGGAGCACCACAGAACTTTTTCTAGCCCCCCTTTCTGTATTTGCAACTCATTCACTCAGAGTAATTGTTTTGAGATTCATTCATGTTACATGCTTAAATAATTCATTCCTTTTTATTGCTGAGTTTTATTCCATTGAATGGATATACCACATTTTAGGAAATTGCGAGACTTTCCCCCCAAGTGATAGTGTCATTTTACATTCCCACCAGCAGTGCATGGGAGTTCCAGTTCCCCCATAGTATCGCTACACCTTGGTGTTGTCAGACTTTTTCATTTTAATTTGCAATCCAAATGAAAATTTTAAATAATTTTCAACTACAGTTGACGTACACTATTATATTACTTTTGGGTATATATACAACATTTATATAATTTACAAAGTGATCACCCCAATAAGTCTAGTACCCACCTGACACCATCTATAATAATAAAAGGGTAATATGCTCCAGACATCCTCCCGGACAAAGCCGGGGCCGGAGCAAAGCCGCCTGGGTCCCGGGTGCCTGCTGGTGGCCAGGAGCGAAGCCCGGGCCCTGGATGCCAGAGGAAAGCCGGTGCCCGCAGCTGGGGGAAGGAAGGCGTACTCTTGCATGAATTTTCGTGCATCGGGCCTCTAGTAGTTATTATAATATGATTGACTATATTCCCTGTGCTGTACTTTACCTCCCTGTGACTGTTTTTATAACTGGCAATTTGTACTTCTTAATCTCTTACCATTTTTCATACTCCCAAACCCCCTTCCATGTTGCAACCATCAAAATGGTCTCTGTATCTATGAGTTTGTTTCTTTTTTTAAAAAATATATTTTATTAATTTTTTACAGAGAGGAAGGGAGAGGGATAGAGAGTTAGAAACATCGATGAGAGAGAAGCATCGATCAGCTGCCTCCTGCACACCCCCTACTGGGGATGTGCCTGCAACCAAGGTACATGCCCTTGACCGGAATTGAACCTGGGACCCTTCAGTCCCTAGCCCGATGCTCTATTCAGTGAGCCAAACCGGCTAGGGCTATGAGTTTGTTTCTTTATTTTCTTTTTTAGATGCCACATATGAGCACAGTCATATGGTATTTCTCTTTCTCTGTCTGACTTATTTCATTTAGCATAATACACCCTGGGTCTATTTCTGTTGTTACAAATGGCAAGATTTCCTTCTTTCTTATAGCACCTGTAAACCTGTGGGACTGTTGTTTTGTATCACAGATTTTTAAGAATTTGAATGTACTTCAGAAGTTTCCTTTCAAGTTAAATCTTTTTAGTAAGTTATTCTTTAATAAAGTTTTTGAAGGAATCTTTGGATTCCTGTTGTCAAGCCACCCAAAAGTTACACTGGCAGAGAAGGGTGAGGGTATGCTAAGCACACTGGAAGGATTCGTGTTTTAAGAGGATCTTGGAGCAGCTTCCCTTTTGGATGTCCCATGTCTGAAAACAGCATCCTCGTGTACAGCGCTTTAAGCCTTGGGCGCCGAGCCAGTCTGAGTTCATTCCTGACTACGTCCTTCCAGCTGAGTGACCCGTTTAGTTTCTTTACCTAATAGTATGAGATAATAATGACACCTGCTTGTTAAATAAGTAATAACGTAGGAAAAGACTTAGAAATGTTTCCGGGGACTTCAGAGCCTGCTCCACGCCCCCATCACCTGTGGTGGTGGTGAGTATGCAGGCTCCATTGGCGGAGTTCAGTCCAGGGTGGGTGATGGCATCAGGGTCTGAGCTTAGAAGATCAGAGCCGTGTTGTTGATCATTGCTTCACATGTCTGTTAAATTACAATAAGCATTCTCTCTTTTTATTTCTACCAAGCCAAATTAGCAAGACGCAGTCAAGAACGAGACAATCTTGGCATGCTGGTCTGGTCGCCTAATCAGAATCTATCAGAAGCAAAACGTAAGTTTTAAAGCACCTTTATTTTTCACCGTCTTTCTTAATGCAAAGTTTTAAATAAGTTTTGTAGCTGAAAGTCCCTACATATATGACAGTTCTCTTACATTTTTAAAATAATTTCAAGAGTTTGAAAGTATATATCTTTACTGTGGCCTGTCATGATGATTGAAAGATTTCTAACCTGTGATTTCACAATCTGCTTTTTTCAAAATGCTGTACAAGCTAAAACGGAAGTAACTAGGAGGAAAGGCCTAGAGGGAAAGGAACATCATAATGCAATGTGTAACTCCATCAGCTGGGAGTTTATAGGGTTATAAAGATGAAGAGTTGAACAGATTTCTAATTTGAAAGATTACAAAGGTCAAATGTGAGATTTTGGAATGGGCATCGTAATACAAGACTTAAGCCTAGCTAGAAGTAAAACTTTGGAATTGGCTGTTTGTTTCATGTGTTTAAAATCTTACTAGGATGACTATTCTGGGCTACTTTGGATTTGTGTTGGAGGGGGGGCAGGTAGGGGACCTAAAGCTATTAGTAATATTAGTTGTATTTTCAGAGTTTGCTTTTTCAAATTTTCTGTCCCTTTTGCTCAAATGATACCATTCAAAAATAATTTTATATCTGATATATTACCGTACCTTTGCCATTTTCAAAGTTTTTATTTTCTTCATAACTTAAAAGAGAGAAGAAAAACTAAATTTCCACCCTAGTTGGTTTGGCTCAGGGGATAGGGCGTCAGCCTGTAGACTGAAGGGTCCTTGGTTCGATTCCTGGTCAGGGCACATGCCTGGGTTGCAGGCTTGATCCCCAGTAGGGGGCATGCAGGAGGCAGCTAATCAGTGATTCTCTCTCATCATTGATATTTCTATCTCTCTTTCCTTCTCCCTTCCTTTCTGAAATAAATAAAAATATATATTAAAACAAAAAGAAAAACTAAATTTCCTTTGAGAATTTTTTAGTGGGGGTCTGGATGGAATTAATGGGAACTTGGAAATCACATGCAAAGTTTTTCTGGAGAAATGACATTGGATTTTCAAAAGGGTCTTTGACCAATAAAAAAAGCTAATAATCAATTTGATAAAACAGGACAGGGCTTTAAAAACCAATCAGTGGTGAATGCTCATCAGAAAACTGTTAAGTTGTGAGCAGAGGCTGGACTCTTAGGCTTTGACGAGGGTTTCCCACATTATGTTCTGCAGCATTAAATCGTGTGAACACATTACTGCCAAGCAGTGTGACAATGCTGCATGTTAAATACCCACCTCTTGTACTCAGGATCTGTGTTAGCATTTAAGATGCAAAGAGCTCTTATGGTAAAGAAACATGTTTAATTTTGGTCAAGAAGGATCCTTTTTGGTATAATATCCTCCCTGGAACGTGGGAAACTGAACTGCTCTTACTAATGCTAAATTTAGCAACAATAATCTATAATAATAAAAGTATAATATGCTAATTACACTGGACAGCCGAACAACCTTTTGGACGTCCTTCCAGATGAAGCCATGGTGGCGGGGGCCGAGGCAGAGGCAGTTAGGGGCGATCAGGCAAGCAGGCAGAGTGGTTAGGGGCGATCAGTCAGGCAGGCAGGTGAGTGGTTAGGAGCCAGTAGGAAATAAATGATTTAGAGACCAAAAAACAAACAAACAAAAAATCTATCTATCTATCTATCTCTCTCTCTCTCTATCTATCTATATATATATATATGCCTAAGTGACCGGTTGTTATGACATGCGCTGACCACCAGGGGGAAGATGTTCAACGGGGGAGCTGCCCCCAACCTGCAGGTGCCCTGATCGCCAATGGGGCCTGCTGGCCAACCTCCAGGTCCCTCCCCGCGGCTGGCAAGTCCCAATCGCCCGATTGGAACCGGGCCCTGGGCTGTGATGGGGAACCAGGGGTGGGTGGAGGCAGATGCGGGCGGGGAGGCGGGGAACTGCGCAGTGGCAGCGCACATACGACGAGGGAAGGAGGAGGCGGAGAGGCGGGGAACCTGATCGGCCCTGTTCGCCAGCCAGGCCTAGGGACCCCACCTGTGTATGAATTTTGTGCACTGGGCCTCTAGTCTCAGTATAATCTGCTTGTAAGAGTGCCTGGATTTTGCCTTCATCAGATTGCTGCTTGATGAGTTTATAATGGAGAACAGAGCAGCAGAAGAAAGTGTGTTGGCATTCCTGATGCCTTCACTGTGGGGAGGACCTAAAGTACTCCCTCTCTTTTTTAAGCACTTGTAGTAACTTACAAAAGCACCCGGTTCCATTTTTGTACATGTTCTTTCTACCAGAGCGCTGAAAAGCTGCTGTCTGAGCGCTCTGTTTTCTTGAACTCTGCTCACTAACCTGCTCCCTAACATCTCTGAGATGTTGTTGTCCTACCGTGTTGGCCATCCCACTGCAAGTTAAACCCTAAGGGTTATTAGATGGTTTGATTTTGGGGTCTCTTTTTATCTCCGTTGCCCTCCTGGATATATTGTATTTGATGACAGTGCCCATCTTTTTTTTTTTTTACACATATATTTATTGATTTCAGAGAGGAAGGGAGGCATGCCCCCCACTGGAGATTGAGCCGCAACCCAGGCATGTACCCTTGACTGGAATGGAACCCGGGACCCTTCAGTCCACAGGCTGACGCTCTATCCACTGAGCAAAACCAGCCAGGGTGACATTGCCCATCTTAAATTATGGTGCCCAGAACTGAATATTAAGAATAGTTGGGGAGCGGGGGGAGTGGGCTCCCAATCCGGTTTCAGATGGTTTTCCCACCGCCCCCCATTGTGGGTCCCAGCAGCTTGGGCAGCTGGGGTGGCTGGAGAAGTGGCAGCGGCCAGTCAACCCAGGTTCTCAAAGGTTCTAGGCAGCCTCAGTTCTCAGGCCCTCAGCTGCATGCCACCTCCATGGTGCCCAAGAGGAAGGTCAGCTCCCCCTATAGGCAGCAAAGGAGGAGGTCAGCAAGGCTGTCAGCCAAACCTGCTCCTGCAAAAAAAAAAAAAAAATGGGAATGAAGCCAAAAAAGGTGGCAGGAAAGGATGAATCTGCAGACAAAAAAGTGCATACGGAAGGGAAAGGGGAGCAAAGGAAAAGCAGGCCAAGTGGCTGACCAGGAACCTGAAGATCTGCCTACGGAAAACGGAGGAACTGAAAAGGAGGAGAGGCCAGTGTCCGGTGAAGCAGGAGAGAAAGAAGCCAAGTCTGATTAATACCACATACCATGTCTTCTCTGTGGTCCCTTCTCCCTTCTTGCACAATCCAGAGGAAGATTGTTGTTGTTGATCCTCACCCGAGCACATTTTTTTCATTGATTTTCAGGGAGAGTGGAAGAGAGAGGGAAGGACAGAGAGAAACATCAATGGGAGAGAAACACACTGATTGGTTGCCTCCTGCATGCCCCCGAACAGAGCCCGGGCTGGGGAGGAGCCTGCAACCAAGGTACATGCCTTTGACCGGAATTGAACCCGAGACCCTTTGGTCTGCAGGGCAACGCTTCATCCACTGAGCCAAACCAGCCAGGGCCAGAGGAAGATTTTTTTATCAACTATTTTACAAATGCAAGTTTTTTTAGTAGCTGTAGAAACATCTTTAAGAAGGAGGAAATTGTACCTCATCCCAATTTTTAAAGTGTAAATGCTTTTTTTAAAGAGTGAAATAATTTTCTGGTTGTTAATTTTTTGGTACAATCAGAAAATAGTGGGATATTGAATATGTGAGGTTTTGTCTTGAGTGTCAGCCAAACATTACATAGATGGGGGTAGTTCTTATATCCTATCATACAAGGCATACTAAGGCAATTTGGAGTCAGTTATGCATATGTCTTGAATATTTTAAATTACTTGCATTCCATGTTTTTGGCAGAATTGTTTCTGAAAGAAAACCACTCCTTCATCTTGACTCTCCCTGTCAGAATCTTGGGCGCTAACAGACGGTAGACGGGGAGCCCGTCCAGCTTTGCTGGTTCTACCCCTTGGTTCATGTTCTAAATGCATCTCGAGAGTTGAGTTCACGAGCTCCAGTCCTCTCTGCATTTCAGCCACGATCCTGTTATTACAGCTCACGCTGTCAGTGCCTTCTGCTGTGGGTTCCCTGTCGGCATCTTTGGAGCCAGAGTTTGATTTTAATATTATCTTATGCAGAAGAAAAGAACAGAATATGAAAAGTTAATAGATTTTAAAACAATGGTATTGGCTACAGTGAAATTTAGCTTTAACATAAGCCCTTCCTGTAATGGTTAAAACTTTAAAAACCAATTTAAAAGTATTATTTGTATATTTTGTTGAAAGTTCAGAAGACACAGAAAAGAATAAAGAAACCGTTCACTCATTATTTCATTATCCAGAGATAATTGTTAAACATCTTGGGGTGTTTTTGTAATCCTTATCCCTCTGTGCATCCTATTTAATAAAGCGGGGATATGCTAATTGACCCTCACACCATCACAAAGATGGCGGCACCCACAACCAATAAGGAGGGAATATGCTAATTGACTGCCACACCCTCAAAGATGGTGGCGCCCAGTCCCCTCAGCCCCCCAGCCGCCCAGGGCCAGCACGAGGTGCAGGTAACCAGGGCCAGCTGAGGCTTGCACTGCTGGCAGTGGCGGCAGCAGAGGTGTGGTGGGGCGTCACCTTCCCCTGATCGACGGGTCACCTCCCGCCCCTGAGGGCTCCCGGACTATGAGAGGGGGCAGGCCAGGCTGAGGGACCACCCCACTCCAGTGCATGAATTTTCATGCACCGGGCCTCTAGTATTTGTATAAGTGAGGTGATGGCATGTCTGTCCATGTGGTTGTATACAGTGAGCCTTCACTTAACATCATCAATAGGTTCTTGGCAACTGCGACTTTAAGCAAAAAACAGAGTATAACAAAACCAGTTGTACCCCAGGCTAGTTGATAGAACAAGAGTTAAGTTATTGTACAAAACTTCTAAATGAAAACCCAAAACATTCCTTTTTAAAAAATATATATTTTTTTGCCCTAATCGGTTTGGCTCAGTGGATAGAGCGTTGGCCTGT